GGATATATATATATATATATATATATATATATATATATATATATATATATATATATATATATATATATATATACAGTGGTTGTATTTCCCTTGGCCGATCAGCTGATCGTTCGCGCCATTTTCATTCGCGTCAGCCTGCCTGTTGTCAAGCGCTTGAAGTTCGGCGCGTGAATGAAAATGTTCTCACGGAATTCATAATTACAATTGCAAACTGAAAATGGTTCTAATGGAAAACGGGGACATTTCGCGCTTTGAGTTTCTCAAGCGCTGTAGTCGTCTAGCACCGGAACCCACACAGATCGCCACTCGTCGCGCGGGAGTTGGTTTTCGGAGGCGGGTTCAGTGTGAGATCAAACAAGGAGCAAGTAAATATGGAAGCAAGTAAGCATTCTTGTCTCACATAGTTGCAATTGTCGGCAAAATAAGGATCATATTTTCACGAAACATCATTGCCGATATCCCATGCAGCAATAAGATAATGCGTATGACAGCGAGAGTAGGTAGTAGGTTAGGTTAGGTTAGGTTAGGTTAGGTTAGGTAGGTTGGTTAGGTTAGGTTAGGTTAGGTATGTTAGGTTAGGTTAGGTTAGGTTAGGTTAGGTTAGGTTAGGTTAAGGTAGTTAGGTTAGTGTTAGGGCTTAGGTTAGGTTAGGTTATGTTAGGTAGGTTAGGTTAGGTTAGGTTAGGTTAGTTTAGGTTAGGTTAGGTTAGGTTAGGTTAGGTTAGGTTAGGTTAGGTTAGGTTAGGTTAGGTTAGGTTAGGTTAGGTTTAGGTTAGGTTAGGTTAGGTTAGGTTAGGTTAGGTTAAGTTAGGTTAGGTTAGGTTGGTTAGGTTAGGTTAGGTGGTTAGGTTAGGTTAGGTTAGGTTAGGTTAGGTTGGTAGGTTAGGTTAGGTTAGGTGAGGTTAGGTAGGTTAGTTAGGTTAGGTTAGGTTAGGTTAGGTTAGTTAGGTTAGGTTAGGTTAGGTTAGGTTAGGTTAGGTTAGGTTAGGTTAGGTTAGGTTAGGTTAGGTTAGAGGTTAGGTTAGGTTAGGTAGTTAGGTTAGGTTAGGTTAGGTTAGGTTAGGTTTAGGTTAGGTTAGGTTAGGTTAGGTTAGGTTAGGTTAGGTTAGGTTAGGTTAGGTTAGGTTAGGTTAGGTTTAGGTTGTTAGGTTAGGTTAGGTTAGTTAGGTTAGGTTAGGTAGGTTAGGTGTAGGTTAGTGTAGTGTAGTTAGGTTAGGTTAGGTTAGGTTAGGTTTAGGTTAGGTTAGGTTAGGTTAGGTTAGGTTAGGTTAGGTTAGGTTAGGTTAGGTTAGGTTAGGTTAGGTTAGGTTAGGTTAGGTTAGGTTAGGTTAGGTTCGGTTAGGTTAGGTTAGGTTGGTGAGAGTTAGGTTAGGTTCGGTTAGGTAGGTTAGGTAGTTAGGTGTTAGGGTAGGTTAGGTTTAGGTTAGGTTAGGTTAGGTGTAGGTTAGGTTAGGTTTAGGTTAGGATAAACTAATGTGACGATTGTATCCCTTTCAGAAACTAATGTGACATTTGTATCCTCGAAAATAAACGAATGTGACATTTTTATTCCCGATTTGCCTTTGCGGTATTGGCTGCTGTGACCTTACTAGGGGGGGCTATCAAAAATCGGAGGAGTGCGTTTTGATCAGAATTAACGGCTCTATCTTTTTTGTCTTTTATTTTTTCGAAAATCCAAAAATTGTAGAAGTTATTAGATGGCAAAGTTGGCCGATTTTCGTGTTCAAGAAACTTCAACGCCCGATTCCTATCCAAGTTCCAATAAACTAATGCGACAATTATATCCTCGTTTGCACAAATTGTACCGAGTGGGGTACAAAAAATTTTCGGTAGGGAATTTGTGATGCAAGTGTATTAGTAAAAGATGCGCATTGTAAAGACAAATCGAACGGTGCAAAAAATTTTGATGTAACCCAAAAATTTAACGATATACATGGTTTTGAAAAAAAGCACAAATTGTACAATTTGGTCCCGATCCGGAAATAAGGCCGTAACCTAGGATTTTTTTTGCTTGCTTATACATCGTTGCGCAGGGCTTCTTTTGGTTTTGGATTTGGTCCAAATTATATTTAGTTTTCTTTTTATAAGCAAAAAACTTTTCATTGTCTAAATTTTTTTTTTTTTTTGAACGCTCTTACATCAAACTTGTTTGTATCATGCCAGACTATACGTTTCCACATTGGATGTGATATTGTTGCTTCTGTCTATGGTCTTTTTTTGTCTCTCTTTAATATTGTACGCTTCTAAAAGTGGTTATATATTCATATGTATAGGGTTTCATGTCTTTTATCTTTACTGGACACCTTATCATGCTAGTCATGTGCATGAATATGGTATGGCAGAAAGCTGTGACGCTGGCTATCTACTAGAAGAAAAATTTTACCAAATATGACATATAAAATTGGTAAATTTTCCCATGTTAAATCACGTGTAAAGTGTAAATTTCAAACTTCTGTGGTGATGGTCCATGTTTCGAAAAAAAGTTTTGAATTTTGATTA